TGTTAGCCACGTCCACTCTGACTCATTAAAATTCCCTCTCTCGCTCTCCCCTCTTCCACAGATAACGTGGAGCCTGTTTCTGGAGGATGGTGGCATCACAGTTTAGAAGGGACCTGTGTCCCTGAATGAATGTCCAACTGCATTAGACTATGAGATGGGTGAGCAGTTAAGCTCTGAGATCTGAGGGTTTACTCGTTACTGCAGCAAAGCTTAGTGTCCCCTAACTAAACTGAAGATCCTGACACTTCCAAGGGGCACAGTTCCTAAGACAGGACATCTTTACCTATTTCCTGTCCCAGAGTGAGTTCCTCTCTCTCCTGCCTCACCCTCCTCAGGGAGTGGTGACCAGCCTTCTCCATCCCCACCTCCTTGTGAGAAGGTCTGAATTCTAACACCCAGATTCACATTCACAGTCTCTGCCAGGGTATCCATCACTCTTGTACAAGTTGGTTCCTTGTGGCCAGCATGGAACTCCCCAAGGGAGTGCTTAGATCAGACCCTGCCATCACGTCCACTGCATCACCTTGGTCTGTGCCTCAGTTTCCCCACACATACCATAAGGGCCTAAGAAGGCCTTTCCTGCTCTGATATCTGCAAGCTGATGAAAGCACATCTGAAAGGGGTGGTGCAGCCAACATCCAGCCCACTGCACCAGTCCAGCCTCCACTTATTCATGACCGTGAACTGCCATCACTGAGTAAACGCACGTTATTGAGCCTGAGCACACTTCCCGGCGTCCTGCTCCCACCTTCCCTTCTCCTGCTCGGACCTGGCCAATTTCCCAGCACACCCCTCTCCAGAGCGTCCCATATCCATCCTTCAGACCCCCACTGCCTCCGGCCCCTTTTCTACCCTGACACCTGCATCTAGGCCTTAAGCAGGGTGGAGAGTTTCTTCTCTTATCAGTCATTTTACTGCCCCCTCCTCCTTGGTTACACAGTAATTTGGAGCAGAATTCCTGGCAAGAACAGACTGTCAGCTCCCAGCCAACAGTTTATGGGACAGAGAGAAAAGGTCCCTTCGGTGCTATCTCGGAGACAGGTAAGAGGGTGCAGGCAGGAAAGAAGTGACAGGACTACAAGAAGGAGGGGAAGGTACCCCAGGCCAGGTGACCGAGGAGAGAGGACTGGACATGCGAAGTGTGGTCTGGGAGACAAGGACAGAAGAAAGCCAGGGCCGATCCAGAGACGACTGAGAAGGATCAGACTCCACAGCCCCGACCCAGAGAAGGGACAGGCCTGGCAGTGACCCAACGACCCTTCTCCTCAGCCTCCACCTGCAGGACAGCAGAAGCACTGACACTCTAGAAGGCACATTCTGGAGTCTGGCAGCAGCAGACTTGAAGGAAGTCCAGAGGGGCTTCCGGGAAGACCTTTCAAGCTGCAGTGTGGCCCAGGACTGACTTGGCCACCTAGGACCCAAGGCTGGCATTCCAGCCTCCCAGAGGCTGGCCAGAACCAGCAGGAAAGGGCCATAAGGCAGAGAAAGGGCAAAGGTGGACACACTGCCTCCAGAGCTCCTCAGAGGCAGACACCTTCTTCCTTCCACCCCTGACCGCCTTTCCTTGTTTTCTTTTTGTTCCCCACTGGGCAGTGACCTTCAGGACCCTGGCCTAGGCTGGTGATTGTGAAAGCAGTTGCCTCCGAGAAGACCCTTCTCTTGAAGACTGAACCCCAACTTGGCAATGGGGGTTCCTTTGACGTCAAGCTGGAGAGGACAGTGAGCCTGTGGGCACAGGATCCGGCACCTTCCAGCTCTTCCGTTGGGATCTGCCTCCTTGACCCAGGGGGTTTTGAAGTGGCCCATGGAAATCCCTGTGGAGACGGAATCGTGCTTGGATAACCTGACAGGAAGTTCCCTGTTCTCCACTTCTGTGTGCTCTCTTGATCCCCAGAGGTGCCCAGGAGGAAGTACGCTGCCATCCACTGGCCTTTTCCTGGGCACACATGGAGCCCCCCGCAGTGGCCCTCCTCACAGCCACCCACAGCATGTGCCAAGGTGAGCCCTGCTGTCCACAGGATGTAGAGAGGAAGAGCCCGGGATGCTGCGAGGCCCCAAAGGAGCCGTGCCTGTCCTTTTCCATCGAGGCAATCCTGAAGAGGCCCAGTGAGGGGACTGCCGTGGTTAAGCCAGAAGGCACAAGTGGAGCGGGCACTAGGCGAGCCGCAGCCACAGGCTCCCGGCTGGAAAAGCCCCCACAGGACCAGCCCCAGGGTAAGTGTCTCCTGATCTTTTCTTTCCACTCCCTGGACTCCAGCTGGGCCCAGGCAGAGAGATGGCTGTGCCGTCCATACCAACAGAACAGAGGGTTATAAAATTCAGAGAGATACCAGGCTCTGGGTTGCCTTAGACACCTTTCAATCTAGCCCAGAACTGTGGTTTCCCAGATGCGAACACCAAAGCTCAATTAGTCACAGAAGGCAGAGGCCAGGGCTTGCTCCAGTAACTAGGCCACAGCTTAGAATGCTAGTCACCTTCCATTCAGCACTGATGATGGGCTCGGCATGCTACTTTAATTTCAGTAGAGAGGCATGATGACCGTAACTGGACAGATGAGGAAACTCATCTGAGAAAGAGAAGAGGTGAACAGTGTTGCGTAGCTAGTAAGCCACAACCCAAGATCAGGACCTGCCACTGGCTGCCCCAAACCCCTGCTGAGTTCGCACATTCTTCCCTTCCTAAGCTGAGTACAGTCTGCACAGCTTCTAGTGGCTGAAGCTTTGCCCGGGGTCTGCCCACCCTGATCGCCCTCCCCAAGCTGGTGGCCACCCCAAGGCATGTCCTTGAATACCAGTGACCAGACAGATTTCAGGGCCCTTCTGGAGAGTCAGCACGAGGAGAGGAGAGGCAGCGTTAGGGGACTGAGGTGGACACGCACCCCCTGCTGACAGGCAGGAACCCGGAGTGTGGGTCTCAGCTCTGCGCTGGTCTGCCATGTGACCTCAGTGCAGCTTTCCTTCCCCTGGCCTGACAGTGGCTGGTGGCAGAAAGAAGGTCGCCCTTTCTAGGCCTCCACTGAAGATACTGACATGTCCCAGGTCAGCTACCCTGCTGGCCCCTGGAGCAGACTCCAGCATGAACTAACCACATAGCAGCCGTGACGTTGGGTCGTGCCCTGTGGCTCTCACAGCACTTTCATGGCCATTTTCTCACCGCATGGTCACATCCGTCAGCCCCATCTTATAGCCAATGAACCCAAGAAGAGAAGAGAAATCACTTGCAAGAACTACGTGAGTCGTTAGCACTAGAATCAAACCCTGGTGGCCTGAGACCCTCCACCCTAGATTGTTCCTGCACATAGTTTAAAGTTTAAATCCATACATCTCCCACCTGCTGGAATTCAGCATTTCCAAAAGCTCAGCGAAGGTCCCACTGACAGTTTTCAAGATAGCTTTGTGGGGCACGCAGACAACGATTATTTATGTCAATAGTTCAGTAATGAACTTCTACACTAGCCTTCTATTTATGATGAAAGATACTAGTTATCCATTTATGGTCATCATAAGAAATTTTCTTTTAAAATAAATGTTTTTACATGAGAAAGACAAAAAAGTCTATTTCGGCAGTTCTAAGTGAATCATAACACAGATGCGAGGTCACCTGTCAGAAACCACAAATGTCACCTGCGGAAATTGCATACGAGCTGGAGTCCATGAAACATGCTGCGTAAAGAGTGCAGGGATTTAAGAAACCTGCCCTCTAAGCCCAGATCTGGCACCTATTCCCAGGAGATCCCCAGGCAAGTCACTTCTATCTCTGGGCCGCAGTTTCCCCACCTGTAACGTGAAAGAGCAGAGCCAGAGCATTCTTAGGTCCCTCCCATCTCTGACACTCCATGACTGAGTCAACAGCAAACTAGTTGCTGGAAAACCTTGGAGGACTGCCTCATGGTCATCCTCCATGGCAGAATCTTCCTCCCTGAGGAACGAGCAGTCGCCATGCCAGGTCTGGCAGGAGCAGGGTGACTGGGAGGCGGACACACCTCTCCCTGCCCTCACAGGAGCCCCCAGCCCAGCCCTGTCGTGTTGCTGCTGATGATGCCTGTCCTCTGTCCCTTCCCTCATTTAGGACCCTCAGCAGGAAAGGGCAACAAAACCAGAAAGAGCAATGCCTTTCCTGGCCCAACAATTGCAATGGAGGAATAAATTCCTCTTCGTCTCCACTTGACATGTAAAGGGCTGCATGGAGTGGCTGACTGACATCACCTCCACACGCCAGTCACCTGAGGAGTGTGTTAAAATGCAGCAAGTCAGGCCTGGCATCCAAGACTCTAAGTCTAGGGTAGAGCCCAGGAATCTGCATTCTAACAAGCTCTCCCAAATGATTCTGAGCTTGGTGGTCCAAAGACTACTCTTGGGAAAGTCTGAAGCTCAGGGAGGGCAGGTGGCTTGTTCCAAGCTACAGAGCCAGTTCATGCAAGAGCTACGACCAGGCCAGTTGCCCAGGCTCCAAGGCCAGTGCAGTGCTCTGCCTGCTTTGTTTCTCATGGCGGGGACCAAAGTTGCTCCCCACATCTTCCTACTCTTGTGGAGACCCTGGCGATCTATGGGTTGGACCCTCCCCGGTCTTGAGTGAATGGCAAAATCCAAGTGGGTCTCCCTAGCTGGAAGGATGCTGAGCCCAGCTGCCCTCTCTCTCTTCCCAGGAAAGGCAGGACCCCTGAAACCCTATTTCCTTGTGTGTTCAAGAGCCATTACACTCATTCAGTGGGTAACTGCTGAGTTCTTACTTAGGCCAGGCTGGAGGCTGGGGAGGGAAGGGTGAGTGAGACCAGCACAGTGACCGTCCACCTGCAGTGGGCATGGTCAGCAGTGGTAACAGTCCCTGGCAACACCATCTTGAGGTGGCATTGACTTCGCCCATCATGTCTGATGGAGCTGATCAGCGGGACCACGGAATCCTTGGCATTTGACAAATACCCTATAGCAGGGGTCAGCAAAGTTTTTCTGCCAAGTGCCAGATGGTAATTTTAAGCTCTGATGGCCAGATGGTCTCTGTCACAATTACTCAACTCTACGGTCAGAGCTGAAGATCACCTGCAGATGACGTGTAAAGGAATAGGTATATTTATGTGCCCATAAAGCTTTATTTAAAACGGCAGGCGGCAGGCTGGATTTGGCCCTCATGCCGTAGTTCATCAACCCGTGCCCCTAACTCATTAGTGTGGCATTCAAAGTCCTTCATGAACTGACTTTCTCGTCCCCAGGCTCATCTCCCATCACACACACATGAAGCTACCCTCCAACCTCCAAACCCTTCCTGCTCTTCAGAGGCTGCCGCACCCTTGCTGTTCAGGGACCACGGCTCCTCCTGCCCCTTCTTTCTCCACTTCCTCCTCTTCTCCCTGCATTTGTTCCCCATAGTTGTCATAACAAATCACCACAAACTGAATGGCTTAAAACACAGCAATCTATTCTCTTACAGTTCATTCTGGAGGCCAGAAGCCTAAAATCCAGACATGATTCCATCTGTAGGTTCCATCTGTAGGTTCCAAGGCAGCGTGGGCTCTGTGCCCCTCTCCTGGCTTCTCACTCCGAGGCCTTCTTTGGCACGTGGATGCATCACTCCAATGACTGTCCCCATCTTCACACACATGGCCTTCCCCTCCGGGTCTGTGTGTGCGTGCCAAATCCCCCTCTCCTTTCATTTATAAGGACACCAGTCATTAGATTTGGGACCCACCCTAAATCCAGGATGATCTCATCTCAAAAGCCTTAACTTAATTATATCTACAAACACCCTATTTTCAAATAAGGTCACATTCACAGCAGTTACCGGGGTTAGGATTTGGACATATCTGGGGGTTAGGGGAGCACCGTTCTACCCACTACTCCTTCCTCTTGCTCCTTTCTGTTCCCTGCCCCCTCCTCCTCCCCTGCATTGCTCTGCTCTGCTCCGGGCACGGGGAGAGGCTGCCCTGACTCAGGCTGCAGCCCAGCCTGTGACGTATCTCATCACCCTGTGACTAACAGCTCTGGCTCTCAGCCAGGTAGACCCAGGGCTCCCATCAGAGTAGACAGGAGCAGGGCATGAAAACGTGGAGCTCAAAGCTTGTACGTCTCCCAGGATAAGTGTGGTTTGGTCTCCCTCCAATGGACCCTGTCTCTCAATCCCTGCCACCAGAGCCACAAACTAACCTGTAACCTGGCTCCGGGGCACCTGGTGGCTGATTCTAGAACAGAGAAAATGGCTCAGTCTTAGGCCCTGTGGAAGCACAAGAAAGTACAGGCATCACCTCTCCTAATACAAAAACACTATATCAGTGTGGATTCCTCTAAAAAAGCAGACCGTGGGGAAAGGATGTGAGCACCAGTAGCTGATTTGGGATGCGCAAGGAACACCAGCAGGAAGGCAACAGATAAACGTGTGTCATTAAGCCAGTGACCCTGTGGGTAACTGAAGCTCAAATCCTTTGGGAAATGGAGCACATATATTCCTCAGAAATATCCAGGGCTTGGCCCATAAAGACAAATCCTGGAGGTATGAAGTTGATCTGGAGCATGGAAATGTCTGGGGGATGCGAGCCAGGCACTGACAACATCTGCTGTGATCATAGGACCCAGAATGTCAGAGCTAGGAGAAGTCTGAACATGCAGAGAAAGAGGCTACAAGTGTCAGCTATAACTTAAATTTGATTTATCCATTGTATTCTTTATCCAGGCATACAACAAATAGCTACTGAATATCTACTGAGTGCCAGGCATATCTATTGCATGACAAATCATCCCAAAACTTAGTGATTTCAAATAACAATAAATATTTATTATCTCACTCAGTTTCTGGGGATTAGGAATTTGAGAGTGACTTAACTGGGTAGTTCAGGCTCAGGGCCCTCATAAGATTGCAGTAAAGGAACTGTTGAGGGCTGCAATCATGCGAAGGCGGGACTGGAATAAAAGATCTGCTTCCCAGGTGGCTCACGTGCTGGTAAATGGTGCAGCTGCTGGTGGGAGGCCTCAGTTCCTCCCCGTGCAGGAGTCTCCACGTGCAGCTTGGGAGTCCCCACAAAATGGCAGATGGCTTCTCTCAGAGTGTGGCCAAGAGGGAGAGAGCCAGGGGAAGCTGCGTCCTTTCATGACCTCACCTCGGAAATCACATCGTGTCACTTGCACTGCGGTCCACTTAGTAGAGATGAGTCACTAAGCTGGGCCCACATGAGCATAGCCCTGCCCTCTGTAGTCTAGCAGGGGAGACAGACAGCCATCGAGAACCAG